ACAAAATATCGAAAAATACTTCAAATAGGAGTTGCAGATACTGCTATTACCTTCAAAAAAGATCGTATACAATTTTCTTCTATCTCGAATACTTCAGGAATAATCGACTAATTAGTTAGTCCATCGCCAATTATTCCTTAACGAGTGGAGTTAAAAGGAAATTGCATGGGATCTTTTTTGTATCTGAAAACTACGTGTAGAATAATGAATAGGTCCAATATAAGAGCGAATTGTTTGGACAGGTGACTCTCGTATTTTAATAACTTCGACTGTTCTCGTACTGTTAATTAAATTTCCTATAATATCGAATAAAAATAATACCACTCTTAAAAAATATTATTGTATTTCTTAATTGGGTCACTTGATTGAAATATAGAAATAACAGTTCATTTTTATTTATATTTCACATCGACTCGTCATCGTTGCTTCGTCAGGCTTCACTGTTTCTCTTTATTTTGCCAACACGAGGAACGAGTACATAGAATAACATGAAATGCACGAATTTAAATAGCTTTTACGAGCCATAAATATAGTCCATGATATCTTAGATATCTCCTGATTGATATGTTCTTAAGATAGCACGTGTGTCATGTTTCAACTTTAATTAACATAGGAAATGGTATCGTAGAGAGCAAGATACGTTATAAAGATAAGTTATAATTTTTCTGTCCCAAGTTTAACAAAGTTGACATTGCACTGCACACGGCATTGAGCAATATTACACTTTTCAGTGCAACAGACTGCATCTAATCAAACTTGCATTTGTGCAATCGTTTCATCACTTGCCGAAATGCGGATTTCTGTGCAAACTGAAATCTATATTGTTTCAATTAAAGGAATCTGTTCAATTTCATGACTTAAGATTAGCAACATGCATACTGCTCTTTATTATTCTATGCATTATTATATATTAAATGCACTGTTTATATTTTTTGGATATTTATTATTTCTAAAAATGGATAAAATACATAATTTAACAAATTATAATATAAACAATAAATATTATTTCATATTCTAAAAATATACAAGGTTGTTCCCTAAAAAGAAATATTTACGAAACATACAAAATTTCTTATCAGCAGTCTGGGAAGATACACTGCATCAATCAACTCAAATTTTGTGTGTTCTGAAAAATTTGATAATTGTCGGCAAGAAATCATTTTACCATTGATCTCTGTACATGACTATCGCTTCATCTGTCTACGTCGGTCGACATAAATGGAGCGAAACGTTCGTAGCACGTAAATCAAGCAATCGACGTCAGAAAACTTCGATCCGGAGGACATTCCAGTTTTTGACCATGAAACATCACTGGTTACGGCATTTTCCTGGAGAATCTCGAATCTAACGCGACGTCGGTAAATTTTCTCCACGCACGTGCGATATCGCTGGGTAATTTTTTTTTTTTGAAAAATCGTAAATCACGGAGTTCGTTTTCTCGTCACATGTAGAGGGTATATCCGACAGATTTACGGGATGTATAATAAATTACAACGACCGGGATATTTGTCGATGCGGACGCTTTATTGAATCGTTTATTCACGTGATTCTTCCTGGTTTGCGCCTGTCTTCATAAGGCAGATGCGTATTTGCCGATTCATATTCTAGTCCCCCGTCAAACACGTCCAGATATTTATTTACGAGCGCGTAACGTGCGAACGGCGTCGAGTATAAATTCGGTACATGTTCCATACCGACAACGAGTATCAACGCGCTTCAGTATGACGGCGATCAGCGTCGATCCAGCTTGCTGCCTAACCGAGCCGACGAAGGCGTCGTCGCCGCAGAAGATCTGCGCCGTCAGTGAGAAATCGACCGCGCTTCTCAACGATTCCGACATCAATAACATCGTCGAGCGGAAACTTCGCTCGAATAACTTCCGCGTTTTGCAATGGAGTTTGGATAGTATGGGCGAGACGAATGGCTTCTTGGGCTCGTACTACACGCTCGCCGTTACGGTGAAGATCGGCGACAAATCGAGGCAGTTGAAATTCTTCGCGAAAACACCACCGCCGATCAGAAGCCCCCAATACGACTTCCTCATACGTTCCGATACGCTCAACAAGGAGATGATCGTCTACAGCGAAGTGATGCCCAGGATGGGCATAGGTTCCTCTTCGAAATGGTTGCCCGATTTCTATCTCGGCAAGAAAAGTATCATAATCGTACTGGAAGACGCGACGCAGGAGGGCTACATCATGCCGGACAAATACATAGCGTTTGACGAAGACCACTGCATCCTGGCGGCGAAAACACTTTCGTCGTTACACTCGAGGTCCTTGATACTGGACGAGAAGCTCCGGCGTAGCACCGGTCAAACGATGTTCGATGTGTACGGACACGTGCTCGAGGAGGTGGCTTTCATGAAGAACGACTTGGTAGGGAACAAATACCTCTCCTCGTGCGTCGTCGGTGCATGCACCATGGTCGATCTCGTGAAAGGGTTGAAAAACGATGAGGCAACTGCGATAAAGGAATGGATCCAGTCGATGATACCAAGGTTACCCGACCTCTTGGTACCGTCGAGCAAATTCCGAAACGTGATGTGCCATCGCGACGTATGGGCGAACAATATGATGTTCAAAACGGACTCCGCGGGTAAACCGATTGGATGTTATCTTGTGGATTTCCAATTTCTACGGTACAGCCCGCCGGCTTTGGATTTCGTGATTTGTTTCTTCTTAACCACTGATCGTGCCACTAGACGCCGATTGTACAACCGTCTGATCGACGTTTACTACGACTCTATGAGCAAAGAATTATCCTCAGAAGGTCTCGACGTGGAGGAATGTTTACCACGTTCGCAATTCGTCGAGAGTTGCCACGAATTGAAGGAAATCTCATTGACATACTCTATCGCCAATATGCAAATAATGCTATTGAACAAGGACGCAGTGGAAGAGTATTTCATAGGAAATTGCGAAAAATTAGAGGAGTACATGTACGGTAATAAACGGGCCGATCTAGTCCTGGACCAGTGTCGCAATGCGAGAACGTTTCAGAGTCGCATCACGGAGATAATAGAGGAAATTAGAGAATTGTTGGCCACCGATACGAGGAGGCGTTAGTCCAACAGGGAAAACGAAGCGAGGTCAAGCGATTTTAGTTCGACGTCGTTTGTACCTGCACTACGATATGTGATAAAAGGACTTTGGAATGGGATCACAGGGGCGGTTGTCCTTATTTCGGAATCTGCGAATGTGTCGCCAAGTAGGCGGAACGTGCCGGAGTTGGCGAGAAAGGCCACGGGGTACAAGGTCAATCAATAGCCATGTATCAGCCGACTTTTTGCCAAGATAAGATAGGTATCTGCTGAAATATCGCCGGACGCTTAATCCAACGCGATGCTCCGATTCTTTAGGTATACGCGTTTCCTTCTTTTTAGATACCTTTACACCAGTACAATTGGCTATGCCTCAGTACTCGTGATATAATTTTATGAATACGCAGCGTGAGTGGTTGTATTCGAAATAATTATACAGCACGCGAACAACCGCGAAGCTACGACAAAGAATTATGATGTATTATATGGGAGAAATAAAAATTTACGAGTAAGCAGGTAGTTTAATATTACTGTAAGCGTCTATACGAATCGCGTGCATTCACGGAACACGTGATTCAAAGTGCCCGCGCTTTTTCATTACAATTGATGACGAGGGTGGCACTTTGCATGCGAGCGTACGTACAAGAGGCCTTTTGCCACGATTCTCGTTTCCCTCTTTCTCCTTTTTCGTACAAAACCCGCCGCGTCGTTTCATCATCTCTGTTACCCTCCCCTTTTTACGTTTCCTCGGCAGTGTAAAAAAACAAACCCGAACGCTGTATTGCCGTTACATTACGTGTAGATATTCCGGCTAGGAACCTTCAACTGTATTTTGTTCTCTGCGAAGGTTTTAGGAGTCTTCGCGCTCTGTCAAAGGAGCCCTCACCCCTTCACGTCACGTCTCGGTGTCATTATTTTATTCAGAAGATATTACGGTCGCGTGTGCTGGCAGCTTTGTTAAACGGAGAATCGTTAAGAAATCTAATTTCCTGCTTAAAACCATTGTGTGATATGGTGCTTTGGCCGGCTTAAACAGCGCCATCGTTCCACGTTAGGCGAACTTTGTCGTAAAAGGGGAAAGGGATTACGGGTCGTAATAAACTTTGCAGCAAGTCTGCGAGAGGCGGAAAAATAGGAACATCAAATATTTGAAACTATCCCTCGTCGTAATCTTAACTTGAACCGCTCCCAATATGCTTCATAATCCATTAGCTTCAGTAGTCGTCGTTCTTACCAAGTCAGGTAGTTTATTACCGTCTGCAATATTTGTTAAACGATTTACATGATTTTCATTAACAACCAATGACTTTTTAATCGGAATTCGACAATGGTCTCATATAATTTAATATTGCCCAGTTTGTCCCAGAAATAGAAAAAAGGATTACTGTTTTTCGGAACAGTCGTGCCATGGAATGGAAATAGTTCTCGATACAGCGGGATTATCTCCGCGCCGTGCGATTTTAGGCGATCAGTACAAAATTACCATGGCATCGGGAGCATCGCACATACCAAGCTTGTTAATCACAAAAGCTTACTGTTTCTCGCGTGCTCATTATACTTCGCAGACCGCAAGCTTTCCATTGGACGATGTAGAATTATCATCGATCAGCCGATAGCATTACGATTCCATTATCTACATCTGTGCTGAACTCGATCTGACTAACCGTTGCTCGTTACGAAAAGCCTGTGCCTAACCGTAATCCTACGATTATACTACTTTTGTGAATAATATCGATATCCACAGTGGTTGACTGTTAAATAGCTAATTATTCCAGTCAAATATTTATCTCTTGAAATTAGTTATTACAATAATAATTTTCTGATTTATTAACTCTACTGCTAAACTTCCTGTTATAGTCAAATTTTGTAGACAGATAAAATGTATTCATTTAAATATTAGATAAACACACGAATCTGTAGAAGCGTACATGTGCGTAATTTCCATGGGATACGACGATTAATAATTCGTCAAAAGGATAATCAAGGCGATTTATATTTTGGGTACAACAAATTTATAAGAAATCTGTGAACGCATAAACAAATCCGCAATCTAACGTTGAACCGCGAAGAAGGAAGGGTAGACATCCGTTTGCGAAATAGTCCTGGGGTAGACTGACGCGTTGCGCTGATTGCACGAAATCTCGTGGCTCGGTGGGCCGAAGGGCGCAGGCGTCCGACGTCCGGCGTCCGGTGGCGGCAAGCGGACTCCGATTTTCTCTAGTGTCGCGTCAACTGCCGCTTGAGAGTCGTGTGCGTCGCACCCTGTCCGCCGAACCACCACCCCGCTCTCGCGTGGCCGCCCGTCACGTTTCCCGAGGCGAGACGAGTCACGTTTTCGCGTGATAGCCGTGGAGATCGTCGCCGGTCCGTCGCACTGTTTCGATTCGAGGTAAAGGTGACCGTGCAACAGTCTCACGAATGACCTGTCGACGACCGGTAGATCCCCTTGTCACGCGACGAGCGTGGCACAGTATCGGTTCGCGTGAATCGTCACCGATGCCGCGGGCATCGTTCGAAACGATCTCGTAATTGAAGTTAGACCAGTGAGTGCCCCGGTTCCTGCGTGTCGTTTTAATATTCAGTCTGTGTGTTTAAAGAAAATGCGTGCTAATTTAACGGGTCCAGTGTCAACATAAAACAAACCATTGTTCGCATCGTGTTTAAGGTTGTGTCACTGCCGGTTTGTTTACGACTCGGCGTGTTCACCCCCTCTGCGATATCCGGCCGGTCGCCACCTTCCCGGCGTACTTGAGGAAAATTTGACGAACGACCAGTAAAGAGGGCAATTGGGAAGAGTGCGCGTCGACTATGAATTGGTGCAAAGTGCAGGCTGTCGTGCATTCAGAGGAGACGACGCCCGGCTGGAAAGGAATGCTTGTATCGGGCGCCGGAGCATGAGGAACGTCGCATCTTTAACGTAATGGTGAGTGTATTGAAATTTCTTTCCGATTGACTCGTTGATCGAACCTCGAACTCGATGGCGAATGCGTCTGGTTAGTCCAGGTTGGCTCCGCGGATTTACTAAAAGCGTTGACGCTGATCGGAATTTAGAAAAGTATTTACACAAAAATATCTTTTCACTTTCCTATCGCAATACAGACTTCCGTAACGTGTATTGATTATTCCTTGATCATATTTTATTACGCGTATACATTTGAATATTAAACATGAGAGATCATGTGTATTTTATAATTATTAATTTTATCTGTATCAATAGTTCGTTTACCATAATTCTTTCTCAGTTTTTTACATTATTCAATGTTTTAAAGTAGTTGACTAGAGAAAACAGGACACAGGAAATTAATGAGGACACAAATATTAAAGTGAACAAGCGTGCGCAAATACTTTTTGTAGCCAGCGTAAATTTTTAGTACGAATGGTTTGCGCTCGTCCGTTTATAACCATTTCAGTTATTGTTATTTCCACGAGACGTCACTTCCGTGTTCGTCGGACGCTGTGCACCCTAGTGGATCGTCGACATCGTGTCCGGTTACGCGTGCACTCCTCGAATCCGTGCGCAGCCGTGGATTTCGAAATTTCTTTGTAACATTGCGTGTAAACCGTGTGAAATATCGCGGTTAAACGACGCAGTTAAAGCAACGTTTGAGCGTTTCCTCGCGTGTAACTCTCCCCCTTTATATTTCGTTTTGTTTTCTGTTTCGGACGCTCCCACGTCTCCCCGTTGTTTCTACTGTTCCAGGATAAACTCTAAGGGAACGATGTTTATCCTTCGCAATAGTTCTTTGACTATTCCCGTTTTTTTCTTCTTTTTTTTTTTTAAACCGAGGATAGCAGAATTAGAGTGTTTTATCTTATTTGATTTTAATCAGCACCTTTATAAATAAAATACGTAAATTGAGGAATGCTTTTAAATGTTATATTTTTTTAACTTCACACGTGCTCGTGATGTGTTTGCTTTCGATTTCAGTTTCAGTACGGGATAACGTTGAAATCAGTGAAGGTTAAAACAGAAATGCAAATGAAATGGTTGTCGATATTTTATTCGACTAAAGGCAGGTTATTTATTAAGCGCGATTATGTAAATTATAGGCATATTTATTTTGTAGGATGTAAAATTGTCCCGGGGGGTAGTTCGTTTCCCAAGTACGCTTCGTGTTATAGTGCAATGAAAGTAGTAATGTTATGCAAACGATCGCTAATAAACAGTAGCGTAAATTGCAATTCGTCTTCATTATTATGCGCGTATGTGTGAGCCGGTGTTTTTATTCAAATTGATTTGGAGCGTTTGTTTAAATCAGAATAGTAGAGACTCCAATGCATTCCATTTTATGAAGCTATTTTCGCGAGAGCGGTTGCAATAAATAAGAGTTCATTAAATTTAAAAAAAAAAAAAACTGAAGTTGGTTTTGTGACAAACAACGTTCGTGCTTGTGAGAATGAAATTAGTCTGAACTGTATAACGTTCACGAGCGTGCGTGCTAGTCGCAGTAGTACGATCCCGACTCTGACGGACAGCCATGAATTATATCTACGCTTATACTACTGCGGCTGTACAGCCGCCGACTTTGAACTTTTCTTCGGTTAACGTTAATTGGTTCGTGGAACACCTTGGTTTGCTGTTTCGCGTGAAATTATGAAAGAAAAATAGAGACGATCATCCATTAATCCCACGTGCCGCTGCCGCGGACAATTTACATACTTGAGTACGTGTCTGCCGTCGGTCAGACACAATGGCGCCCGCGATTTTGCTCTCTACATTATGCCGGTTCGCGTGATGCACACCAACGACCGATCCCTGAATAATCTGGATTGATCAGGCCGATGCTTAATCGCTTTATTCTAATCGGCCAATGGAAGAATGATGCTCCGAGCAGTACTCGGCGGTCGCCGGTCCGGCAATTAGCTTAAATATCGCTTACATTGACATTAAGCGACGTATATGCAGATCTCGCCGAGTCGAGGGCAATTGAACCCATTAAATCGATCCGTTTCTAAGCCGCATTGTATTTCTTTTTATAAATATAAAATAAAATACTTCAATTTTTGTACAGAGTTTCAAAAAGCACTCTGGTCTCTATTTAATCATTTTCTTGTTTAGTTTTGCATAGACGTGTAAAACAGTTTTCTTCGAAATTCATTTTGAAAAATTGCATATAATTATTCTGCGGCCCTATAGTGTTTTTTTTTTTAAAGAACTCAAAAGCTTTCGGGAATCCAGTACGACAGCTCGTCACCCCATCGGTTCCCCAGAAGTTGAACAGGCAATTTTTCACGGACAATGATTTATTCGACGACCATTAGGCCGAAGCTGTGTAGCTAGCTTTGTGCGGCGCACGTGATGCGACGCGACGCGAGTCGCAATTCACGCGGCACTCGTGTCAAGCTGCATTTACAACCGTTGCATTCGTTGCAGGAAGTTCTTGAATCGCGTTGTCCCCACGCGCGCCTTGGAAATTGATTTCCCGTGTCCCGGCCCGCGTCACCGGCCATTTTTCCCCTGCGTTTCATTATCTCCTCGAACCGGTATTCTTCATTAAATGTAAATACATCGGCGAAACTCCGATGAATCGAATGGAAAAACGTGATGTCTGAGCGGTGATTGGATTGGCACGATTTAACGCTTCGTCGCGTCGAGGCCCTTTAGAGAATTTTTATACGCTTCTCAGCTAACGATTTTTTATACTTTCTTGAGAGGTAGAATACCTAAATTTCTTATAAAATATGTACCTTCAAAGTCTAGTGCTAATAAGCAGGCTTAGGTATGTACCAGAGGTGAGGAATCTTCTTACTACTAGAGGCCACATTTAAATTAGGTAGTAATAAAGGAGGCTGCTATAATCTTTTATATTTTACTGTTGACATTTTTATTTGTTTAAGTATATATTATACATATATATTTAGATCTTTAAATTTTAATAAACAATTACATGTTTATATACCACTTCAAATAAAAATAATATTAGTAGAAGTATTTTTAAATAAATTCATTACATTACAAAGGAATAAAACAGAAAAATAATAATATTAAATTATAAATAATTAACACAGTAATAATATATAAAATAATTTTAGAATCCGATGGAAAATTTAAATTAGTGGGATATTTGCAATAGTTTCTTGCTTGAAAGTAATTGAATACATTAAAATATAACATTTGAATCTATACAAGGAGACCACCTCTGGTTTCCTCATCTCTGGTTTCCTCATCTCTGGTAGATACCGGTTAGTGGTAAACAATATTCATCCGATAATAACGAACAGTATAGGAGGCAAGTACACGCATGATTACAGAGGTATTCAGGTAGCACTGAGCAATGCTCGTAATTCAGGGTTGATTCCGTTTCGTTCCATTTGAGGTCACGCAGTGGTACGAGTGCCCATCCGCGAATAGAGAGATCCAAGCCGAGAACTTATTCTGCAATGTAAATATATTGGGATGTTTATGCAGTTGCATGGTTAAACGCGCGGGAAGTGCTTAGCAATTTTAGCTGCTTGTCAAGCAAAGCTGTGTCAATTTACTTTGATACCTCATATGCACCGGTACGTCGCGTGATGTGCCCGACATACACACGCACACACGTACACAAGTTTGCACTCGTCCGCGAGCACTGGAGATAAATGGTGTTTGTAAACTAATAATGTTGAAGCGCGTTTTTGGTATTCAAATTATACGCATGCGTGTGTTGGCCGGACGGTCACCGGGCCACGCGAGATATTAGGTTAATCATTCTTGCGAGTTTTAATATTTTAATCAGTGCGCGGATATCGGCAATTTAATCCGGCCGGAAATTACCGAGTCCCGTCCCCGATACTATCGCGATGTTAATTAGTGCTGCTCTTTCGCGTATTTCCACCGTCGCGCGCCGCTCTGCCTTATAGCTTTATCTGAGCTTCGATTGCTCGTTCGACATAGTACGAAAGGTGATTTGCATCCGAAAGGAACGGGAATTTCATTTCTGACAATTCACGTTTTATTCCTTTTTGAGAGGGCTTCGCGTTTCTTCAACGAGTTAAGTAAAAAACGTATTCCCTATCTACAATAATTATTATTTGTATAATGAATGATGAATGATGATTATAAGAAATGCTAAACAAGTCATTTTGACTAGTGTTAACAGTAATAAATAAGTCAGTACGCGTCGATGAGTAGGACTAGTATGGGTATCAATTAAATCAGTGTCACAGCGATCTAATGTACGCAATAGCATGCACGCCCCAAACGCTTGTAAGCGTGTGCATTTACGATGATCGCACGTGCCGGGCCACGGAAGTACGAACGGCGAGGGATATACGTTTCCTTGGCAATCGGAACGGTTCGTATGGCAGGGAAGAAGTCATAAACCCCCCCGGCCTGTGTACCACGCTTGGCTTAGAACGCTCAATAAATAAAGCTGCCACAGTGGCGTAAATTTCGGTTCACGTTAAGTTATAGTGGCGCAACGAGTGTATCGTTTGAAGTCAAAAGTCGACCGGGAACCACGCGATATTTTCAAACTAGCTAGTTAGCCGACAATTTCTTGTACAGCGTGTGGCTTGTGGTTAATCCGCGCATGAAGGGAAAATGGGTAATATGGTTGAATAATGAACCGACTAGTTAAAATGTTTATGATCATAATCGATAAATGAATGTTAACAAAATAATTTACGTAAACGTAGAACGTGTATACAGGTTTTATATTTAATTTCCATCGATTTGTCGTTATAAATTCAAAGCTCGGGTTGAAAAAAAATTGTAATAAAAATGAGAGAAATGAATGAGTTCGAATGGGGATGTTTGATCGATTTTTATAAAACGTATTAATTCCACGAATATGATTATTTTTAATCACGTGATGAAACGTGATTTGAAATATGATTTCAATTTATTGGTTAAAATTGGATAAAATTTATTGGTTGAATTTTAGTTAAAATTCTGAAAGAGGTAACATAATTTGAAGGGACAAACATCGGTTGTTTGGCATC